GGCCACGGCGAGGCAATGACCCTGCCCGCCCTCCCGCAGCCCGTCACCAGCGTCGCGCGCCATCCTCTCCCCTTCCGCGCCCCGGCCGGCTGCACCTGCGCGGCGCCCTGGGGACTCGGATCCGCAGGCCGTCAGCCCGGCCGCCGCCATGGTGGGGCGGCGCGGCACGGCCCGGCTCTCCAAACCGCAGCAGCCGCGGGTTAGCGCCGAGGCTCCGCGACCCCGGCTCCGCAAGGAGGAGCCCGCGGCGGACACGGCTTCCCCCGAGCTGGGCTGGCGCCCTTCCCCTTCCCCGCCCCGAAGGCCCTGCACTCACGGAGCGGCGGGCGGGCTGCAGGCAGGCGAGCGCGGCGGCAGGAAGCGACGGAGGAAGCTGGGCCGCAGCCAGGGCCGCGCCGCGCCGCTCCGCTCCGCCCGGCGCGGCCCGCCCCCGGTCTTGCCGCGCTGCTCCCCGCCCCAGCCCGAGCCCTTGCCCGGACCCCAGCTCCAGGCTCCCGGCGGGCCCCGGAGCTGTCGCGGAGAGGGCGGCTTGGCTCGGGGGGTGGTGCCGGTTTGAGGGCAGGATGGGTCTCCCGGGCAGGAAGGGCGGTGGGGAAGTGAGGCTGCCGGCCGGGTCGGAGCGTATCTGAGCCCGCCTAGAGGCAACAGGTCGCGGCAGGTCTGGCTGCGGAGCACCTTAGAAACTCAACGGAAAGAAGGGAAGGGGTGCAGAAGGGGTTACCTTCGCACTGGAATTTGGTGAGATCTTGCTGAAAGACCTGGAGATGCTGCACTGCATTTGCGTATGTGGGGAGCAAGCTAACAGGTTTGCATGCTTGCAAGGGTGTGGGTAGTTATCCAGAGGTTATACAGAAGGGTCTAGGCTCTGCGTAGGTTGTCAAGACAGCCACTGTGGGAGGGACGGGAGTGATCAGAATCAAAGGTGCAAATCCTCGCTGAGGGGCAGGCAGAGTAAAAGGTGTCCAGCGCACAAGGGAGAAGCTAGAAGAAACTGGGATTCAGATTAAACTCAGCATGTGGCTAGACAGCAAGGGGGGCTTTATTTGGAAGAAACCAAATCTGAATTAAGGACTAAGAAAATAGTAGTTTTATTGGAATAATATTAACCAGTGATAAGCAATAGAGAAGAAAGGGGGAAAGGGTGAAGTTGCAGTGGCACCCCTCAAAAATCAAGGATGGAGAACCTCTAGTGTGTCTGCTCATAAGATGACAGAATGGGAAGGGAAGCATGTAGAAGTCATTGAACCAAGCAAAGACAGGATGTCAAGAAGAGTATTGTTGAAAGTGGTTGACAGATTACGCGGGATTTGATTTAGGTAGGAGGAATTCTTCAGGCACTTCAATGACAGTGGTGACAGCTGAGCACAAAGATCTGCAAGCATGCTGCAGACCATGTAACAGAGGAGCCCCAGACTTGAGTTAATGGAATCTGTATAAGAAAGAGAAAGAATGTGGGACAATAATCTGAAACAAATTGGATCAATAAGTGGGTCCTTCCTTCTCCAGATGAAAGAGATTAGAGAATTATTGTACTGCAAGAACAGTAACTAAATTAAAAGGTTAAAGAGAAAGAAGGTGGTTGTTATTTACTACATAACATACACAGTAAGTTACACCTGAAAATTTGTAGAGGTAATATATTCTATCCATACCTTGTTAAAAATGGAAAATGCATAAATCTTCAACTCATATATAGATATACTGCCTCAAAGAGACAATTTGCAAATGCCTGTCAAGGCAGCCATATGGAGAGGCTGGCAGAAGGGCAGCTAGTGAACCAGTTATACGTGCCAAGTTCAATTTGTCACACTTTACGGTACTGAGAAGTATTCTTGTTTTGAGAAGGAAAACTCTCATTAGTACAGAGTCAACAATATACTCCTCAAAATGCATCTTTACAAAGAAAATATCCAGCATGTCTGCCCTTACATATATACAGCTGGTGCATAATACATCTACAAGGGTATGTAGTAAATACAGAGTCCTGATATAAATAAACACTAAACAGAGGGACCCTCATTTAAACTTAAAACATGCCTTGGCCATCAGTCCTTGGGGCTGAACGACTAAGAGCTTTCAATGCAAAAGCATATTGAAATTAGGGGTGCAGTTATTACCCTTGGGCCACAGCCCGTGTCTGCAAGGGGCAGTGGCAAGCATGACAGTGGTGCAGGCAAGTGCTGGTATCACCTCTTCTCCCCAGGTCTAACACTGAGGGTTTTTTTTCTGATTACTTTGAGTGAGTTTGGCATCAAAATTCCTCATCCCTGTTCAGTCGCCAAGCCTTTGGTACTTTAAGGCTTCTCAACAGCCTGGCTTGGTTGTGGAAGTCATCATGCCCAGGCAAACATCAGCTTTTCATAGCTCTGGTGAAATCCAGGACTTCCCTGAACCAGGGGGATGCCCTGCTGGCCACACGTAATCATAGACTCCTAGAATGGTTTGGGTTGGAAGGGACATTCAAAGGTCATCTAGTCCAACTCCCAAGCAATGAGCAGGGACATCTTCAGCTAGATCAGACTGCCCAGAACAACATCCAGCCTGGCCTTGACTGTCTTCAGGGATGGTGCATCCACCACCTCTCTGCGCAACCTGTGCCAGTGTTTTACCACCCTCACTGTAAAGAATTTCTTCCTCACATCAAGCCTGAATCTCCCCTCTTAGTTTAAAACCACTACAGAATCAGAGAATAGTTAGGGTTGGAAAGGACCTTAAGATCATCTCGTTCCAACCCCCCTGCCATGGGCAGGGACACCTCACATTAAACCATGTCACCCAAGGCTCTGTCCAACCTGGACTTGAACACCGCCAGGGATGGAGCATTCACAGCCGCCCCGGGCAACCTATTCCAGTGCCTCACCACCCTTACAGTAAAGAACTTCCTCCTGTATCCAATCTAAACTTCCCCTATTTAAGTTTTAACCCATTACCCCTTGTCCTATCACTACAGTCCCTAATGAAGAGTCCCTCCCCAGCATCCTTACAGGCCCCCTTCAGATACTGGAAGGCTGCTATGAGGTCTCCACGCAGCCTTCTCTTCTCCAGGCTGAACAGCCCCAACTTTCTCAGCCTGTCTTCATACAGGAGGTGCTCCAGCCCCCTGATGATCCTCGTGGCCCTCCTCTGGACTTGTTCCAACAGTCCCATGTCCTTTGTATGTTGGGGACACCAGAACTGTACACAATACTCCAAGTGAGGTCTCACAAGAGCAGAGCAGAGGGGCAGGATCACCTCCTTCAACCTGCTGGTCACCCTCCTTTTGATGCAGCCCAGGATATGGTTGGCTTTCTCGGCTGCAAGCGCACACTGCAGCTGGCTCATGTTCGTTTTCTCATCGACCAACACCCCCAAGTCTTTCTCCACAGGGCTGCTCTGAATCTCTTCTCTGCCCAACCTTTAGCTGTGCCTGAGATTGCTCCAACCCAGGTGTAGGACCTTGCACTTGGCATGGTTAAACTTCATGAGGTTGGCATCAGCCCACCTTACAAGCGTGTCAAGGTCCCTCTGGATGGCATTCCTTCCCTCCAGCCTATCAACCGAACCACACAGCCTGGTGTCATCAGCAAACTTGCTGAGGGTGCACCCAGTCCCACTGTCCATGTCACCGACAAAGATGTTGAACAAGACCGGTCCCAACACTGATCCCTGAGGGACACCACTTGTTACTGGTCTCCAGCTGGACATTGAGACATTGACCACAACTCTTTGTATGCAGCCATCCAGCCAGTTCTTTATCCACCGAGTGGTCCACCTATCAAATTGATGTCTCTCCAGTTTAGAGACAAGGATGTTGTGTGGGACAGTGTCGAAAGCTTTGCACAAGTCCAGGCAGATGACATCAACTGCTCTACCCCTGTCCATCAGTTCTGTAGTGCCATCATAGAAGGCCACCCAATTGGTCAGTCAGGATTTCCTCTTTTTGAAGCCATGCTGGCTGTCACCAAGCACCTTGTTGATTTTCATGTGCCTTACCATGCCTTCCAGGAGAATCTGCTCCAAGATTTTGCCAGGCACAGAGGTGAGACTGACTGGCCTGTAATTCCCCGGGTCATCCATTTTCCCCTTCTTGAAAATGGGGGTTATATTTCCCTTTTTCCAGTCATCGGGAAGTTCACCTGACTGCCATGATTTTTCAAATATGATGGACGGTGGCTTAGCAACTTCATTCGCCAGCTCCTTCAGGACCCACGGCTGGATTTCATCAGGTCCCATGGACTTGTGTACGTTCAGGTTCTTAAGATGGTCTCGAACCAGATCCTCTCTAGCCCTTCCCTGTTGGTGAGCACGAGGTCAAGCATGGCACCTCTGCTTGTCGGCTCCTCTATTACTTGCAGAAGGAAGTTGTCTTCCACACCCTCATCCCATCACAACTGGCCCTGCTAAAGTCTCTCCCCATCCTTTTTACAGGCCTCTTTAATTACTTGAAAGACGCAGTCTTCTCCATGCTGAACAAGCCCAGCTCTCTAAACCATTCCTCATAGGTGAGGTACTCCCTTCCTGTCACCATTTTTGTGGCCCTCCTCAGGACCAACTGATCCATGTCTTTCCTCTACTGAGGACTCTAGAGCTGCATGGGTAATCACCAAAGCAGATTTGCCCTCTACGGGGCAGGATCACCTCCTTTGGCCATGCTGGTTTGGATGTAGCCCAGCACGACTGGTGATTGTATGCCAAGGTGTAAATTTATCAGATGCGAGCATGCAATTATTTTATCAACTGCGAGTCATAAATTGTCATAAATCTGAGAGATCCACAAGAAGAAGGAAAAAGGAAAAAAAGGAAAGAAGGGGAAAAGGGGAAAAAAAAAAAAAACCACAAAAAAAAACCCAAACGCCAAACTAGCTGTTTTTAGCTCCCGAACGTCCCAGCGTCGGAAGGTCTCCGAGTCCCCGCCTCTGAGGTGAAGGCGGTGCCGCCTGGTTAGCCGTCTCCTCCCCGCTGGCGGGGCGGCCCAGCAGCCGCCATGTTGGGAGGCGGGCAGATGGGGCTGAGGGGTTGGTGGGGGGCAGCGCGGGGCGTACGAGCGGCGAGCAGTGGCTGGTGGCCGGCGGCAGCGCTCGGTGAGGCGGGGAGCGGAGCGGCCGCGGGTCCTCTCCCGAGGCGGCCGGCTGGGGAGCCCCTTGTAAAGATGTTAAACACACGGGGCGATGGGCTTCCTTCCTCGAGAGGCCGGGGGAGCGGGCGCCTGCGGTGGTCTGACGGGCTGCGCTTCTCCACCAGGTCCCGGGGCGGCGGGTGCCACCAGCCGTGGGCTCTGCGCCGGAGGAGCGCCGAGCCTGTCCTACCAACAGCTCAAGGACTTGAAGAAGACCAGCGTTCTCCACATAGACGTGCGGGAGAGATGGGAGATCGATAGATCTGGTAAAATCCCGGCGTCTATCAACATACCGCGTGAGTTACTAGCACTGCTACATGGAGACATTGGGTGGTGTCAACGTACGGGTGTAAGTTGCTAACATTGCTGTGGGGATGTTGGGTGTTCCCCTTTGCGTGTTGATCAAAGTGGTGGTGACTGAGCAAAGGGGAGCTATGCTAGACAGTTGCTAGTATGTTGTGAGGCTAAATTTTTCCTCCAGAGGAATTAGAACCTTACAGTGTAAACTTGCCTGTGGATGGAGAATAAAGGAGGCTTTTCTTTCCGGTGTTTCCCAGTGGGTGAATTAGTGGAAGCTCTACAAATGGACCCAACGGAGTTCAAGGAGCGGTACAATCAAAAGATGCCATCTAAGTCGGACCCTGTGGTTTTCTCCTGTTTGGCAGGAACCAGAAGTAAACAAGCACTTGGGTTTGCCATGTCTTTGGGTTTCAGCAGGTATGGCTTCTGTAAGGATGGGATTAGCACGGCCTTCTCCCATCAAGCAGGAATGTTTAACCCTTGCCCACTCAGCTTCTTGTGGGCAAGGATAAAACTTTAAATGGGGACTATAAACAAAACTACTGATGTTTGAGTTAGACACAGCCTCTTGCTTCTGCTTGAAAGACACTGTTGGGCATTCCAGGAAAGTGAAGTGTGTCACCTTGTGAAACCCCCTTGGCATGTGCCACGGGTGGTGCAGTCTCCTGCAAGACCATGCTGCCAGTGACGACTCTCTCACTAAGATGATTTGTTATACAGCTTCATAAGCACTAGCCCTGAGGTGCAGGATGATTGGAAAGGTGGAAAATTGCTCGCTTTGATAGAAGTATGATCTAAATTTCTGAAACCACACCATTTGGTAAATTGCAGTTTTACCTGTACAGTTCACTGTTGACAGAGTACATGTTCACTTTCAATAAAGCATGGGATTGTTTGCCAGGATACATTGCCATGAAGGCAATGGCTAAAAAGAGAATGAGATTGATAGGGAGTGAAAGCAAAAACAATGTTTGGTTGGCAGAACTGTTAAGCCTGTGCCAGAAGGTGGCTCGCTGAAGACTTCAGATAAAATTTAAAAAACTGTTTGTTTGCTCATGTTTTCACTGTGCTGCAGTTTATGAACTGGAATATCCTTGCTAAGGCTAGTAAAAAATACATAACCATGTTCTTATTTTGTAGATACATTGTTCATTGTTTTAGTAAGTGCAGATATCCTGCATTACCTGTTTTTCATGCTGCCTAATTGAAAGAGTTGGTTTTGTGCAGACACTTCTGTTGGATCTGTAGATCATGTAGGTTTGCAAGGAAGTAAAGATCAGTGTTCTGTGTTTGATGACATCTGAAGTATTCAACATAGCAGCGTGTAAATCTCCCACTGCATTGAGCCTGTTCTTTTTAAAAAATGAAGTGGCAAGCTGTTCCATTGACCTGTCTGCTGCTGCTTGCTTGATGTTTGATGTCTAGCATTGTGCCAACTGGAAAAAAAGCATTACAGAACACACTGCATGGCAGCAGGCAGCATTAGAGTATAAGGAATGTTGATCTGTCTCATTGGAACTAGGTACCAGTGTATTTGATTGCAGAGAATTTCTGTAAGGTTTGGTTTTGTTTTTTTCCTCTGATTAGTTTTGGTTTGGGGTTGGATTTTTTTTTTGCCATGTCCTCTTAGATACTTTTCTCAAGAAGACTCCTTAACATTGTATCTTTTGTATATTTTCAGAGTTCAGCAATATGCGGGTGGCTTTGAGGACTGGATAAAACATGAACCTCCAGAGACAAAATGAAGGTAACTCACCCAGCCCTTACTTCATCAAGGCTTCAGGATGATTTGTAGGTTTTGGCATTCAAGCTATGTGTATTCCACTCCCAGAATACAGCACACTCTTCTTTTCTTGTGTAAATGGACACTCAACTTCAAATAGCCATGCATGTTGGTTGCTTGGTTTAAATTATATTTAAAGACTGTGACATGAACAAAGAACATTGAATTTGTTCAACCTTTACTTTGAGCTATGTTTTTTGGTGAACGTATGTAAAGAAAACTTAAGAACTTTACTAAGATTTTTGTATGATGTAGTTTATGGCTGTTTAAACTAATGATGATAGAATAAATAAATTTAGCCTTCCCCAAGTAACTCTCTTTGGTGGTTTGTTTAGAGTAGCTAAACTGCAGATATTCTAATGGAATTGGGGTAACTTTCCTAAGCATGGATTTATTATACTTCATGTGTAGCTGGAGTTCTAAAATAGTTGTTATCAAGGAGTACAAATGTTTAGGTTTGTATTTACACAATTGTAAGGCCAAAACAGCACTACTGATCAGAAAACACAAACGGAAACTGACCTGATGCTAGAATATTTGCTGTTCAAAATGTTGATTCCTTATTTAGAAGTGTATTAATTTTTATATGCAGATCTGTTTCTGAGCACAAAATGCTGTAGCGTTCAGTCGACAGCTTCTCTCAGCAGCTCAGTATCAAGTGAGAACTTGACTGTACTTGAAGTTATTATTAAAGAGAAGTAATAATTTTAGGCTGGAAAATGTAAGGAATCCAAGGAAGTTACTAAACCCCCTTTCTTCTTTTATGTACGTTAATTTGCATGTCTTCAACTTTGAAAAACAAACCAACCCATTGCATCTCCACCTGTAAATACACATAGTCATCATTGTAAGGATTTTTTTGTTTGCTTGGTTGTTATTTTCAATTCTGTTAGCATTTCAGGAGAACTAGCAAAGGTGAGTTGCTTTGACCTCTAGAAAATTGAAGTCCTAGCAAAGAAATTCAGGACTCTTCAGGATGTCTGGAAGAAGGAATTCAAATTTCTGGTCCTGCTCTAACCAGTATTGCAGGCACAGTGCAGTTATCCTATGGCTCTTCCATTCTGACAGTGCAGTCTGCATGGTGAGAAGAGGACCTAAAAAATAAACCTTCTCAAGTTTAGAGAACAGAGAAGAAAAAGTGACTTATCTTAATAGAATTTTATTTCTAGTAGATCCAGCAGTCTCTGCAGTCATTTGTTTCTAGACAACTGTAGCTGGCCCAGCCAGCTGTGTTGCTGGACAATGTATCTTACAGGGATTTCTGTTCTCTCCAGTAATAATTAAAAACCATGTAATGTAGCTGTCGTAATAATGAGTGCCTTTTTTTTCAAAATACCATTGTCTTTTTAGTGGTCTTATTGCTACACTTTATTTTCAATCCATTAAAAAAAACCCAAACAACTTAAGAACCAGAATTTAGACCAATTTCCAAAATAAATGCTTTAGTTTAACTGATGAATTAATAGGAGTAAGATGAAATTAAAATGCCAGAATGAGTAAGGATGTTACCTTGTGGTCAGTTACTCTGCACTATCTTACTCTGGAAAGGTCTTTTTCAGACTGCATCAGGAGGAGTAACAGATGCCAACAGTTTTGTTGGATTTAGCTAAATCCTATGATTTTGCCTGTTTACCATGACTTAGACTGTCAGTTCCACCAGTGCTGTGGGCACATAGTCAAAGGGACAGCCAAAGCTCACTGTTGGCTGTGTTGTGCCAGGACTCACCAGGACTAATGATGCCTTTTGCTCTAGATCACTAAGGTCACACGGAAAATGTTTATCTAAATGTGTAATTAAGCATGCCTAGCTACATTGATTGAGACACCTGACTTCAGTGTGCAAATGAACAAAGCAAGGAGATCTCATCAACTACACTTGGTCAGAATTTAATCTAAGCAGCCAATGCTTCTTTTTGTAGTTTATGTTAAAATTTGTTGGGAATACTTAGAACTACATAACCTCAAAGAATGAACAACAGTTATATTGGGTCACACCAAGATCTGTATAGCCCAATATTTTCTGTTTGGCAGCAACCAGTGCTAAATATCTAAGGAAAACATAAAACAGGGTAAGTGTGCAGTGATACAATCCCCAGATTATTCTCATTTACTACTTCTAGTGCTCTGATACTTCCTTCAGGCTTTGCATGTCCTGGTATATTTGGGTATTTGTAAATTATCAATACAAACGCCTGGCATTCACAGCAGGTGGCACTGGGTGTAACAAGGTGCTGTGAAAAGTTTCCCTTTGTTGCTTCTCAGCTTGTCACATATTGTTTTCATTGCATGCTCCCATTTCTTCTGTCAGAAGTGATGAACAGTTGTCATCAGTCTTCACACTAAAGATTTTCCTAGACCTCAGCTATCTCTTCTGAGCTGAAGAGTTGTGGATTTTTTAATAGGAAAGCCACTCTGTATCACTTATTTTCATAATTTTTATTAGTTGTGGTAGATACAGTTTTTATTAATCTTGGTAGTTTTTTGCAACGTGTTTCTCAAATTACTTGTATCTTGTCAAAGTCAATGATCCTTTGTGTCTATGTATCTTCCTTATATGGATATACAGATATATTTAACTTGCTTTTCAAACTATGGTTTTTGAGTTAACTTGTCTGATCCAGTTCAGTTTGCTTCCATTTAGATTTTTCCTCAGGTCTTTGGCACAGATGGCCTGTGTTTGCTTTGAGACTCCACTATCACCTGTAACCATGTATCTCAGACGATTTTCAGCTACTTCTCTTTTAAAGATACACCTTATTTTTACACATTTCTCTCCTCTGAATGAAGCATGGTAAAGGTAGGGTTTTTTTCTGTCCGGCTGGTAGCAAAGCTGCTGAATTCACATCATCTCCTATCTCCTGTTGTTCCAATTTACATATTTCTTTTCATAACTATCCATCATCGCTGGTAGTTCTTTTGACTGCACTTCATATCCTTTCACTGTTTACACTGGAATCACAGCTGGTAAAACTATCCTAACCTCCCCAGTAGAGAAATTGCTTCTATTTATCATCACGAAGTGGCTGAACTTTCAGCTCTGAGGTTTAGGTCACACAGCTAATTAAGGTGTGAACTTATGTCCACAAAGGTTCCTGAGCAGCAAGAAAACTTTTAGTCACTCCAGACATAATTCTTAATTAATGGTGTGAAATCCCTGATTTCAAAACATTTGCTCTCAGCAGATTATGTGGTACTGTGAGAAGACTGATGTTTACCTAAAGAACAGTTCCTGTTAAAGAACTCCACACAGCAGTCAAGTTGCATTGATTTATTTCTACTCCCCCAGTCCACATTACAAATAGCACATTTTAGACTTCAAGAAACAGAGGCAAATAGCCAAATTCCACTTCATCAATCAAGTGTCTATAAAAGATACGGATCAAATGACAACAAAAGTAGCAAAGACCAAGATGTTTGGGCTTGTTTGCCTAATGTTTTACAAAAATGACCTGAACAGAAATGAATGCTAGTAGCCAAAGGAGCTACATACAACCACATTTCGCTGAATGACCAGCCAATTACAAAGACAGACAGTTACTCACAAAAACTGTTGAGGTTTTTTTCAGGGGATGGTTTGTGGAACCAAGATGCATCACAGAGCAAGAGTTTTTAAGAATTTCCCTCCAGGATTTCAGACCACTGACATGTGTTGTTTCGGGGAAAAAAAAAAATAAATAAAAAAGGAGAACCATGTGACTGCACTCTATCATTCAGTTTTGATATTTTTGGTATTATTACTCAAAATGAAGTTGTACAGAACTTAATTAGAAACAAAGTTACCTAAAAATCAAGAAATTTGATTTAGGCCAATTCCTGACTTCAGTGGGATAACTGCCTGAGTAAGGAACACAGGATACGGCCTTCTGCTTGAAGGAATCTTGTTTTCTCCAGCACATAGTTAACCAAGGAATCCCATTTCAGTTATTCTAAAAAGTTGCTCCTAACATCACAATTAGCCAGTATGAAGCTCACCGAAAGCCTGAACTTCTTAAATAAACTCTACTGAACCACACAAATTCACACTAACAGTGAAGGCAGACTAACAGCGTTTATCTCTTGTACAAAACAAAATCCATAAAAAATGGTAATCATATCCAGATTGGTACTTGATTGTGAACTATTCCAATTGTACTACACAGAACGCTTACTTGCAGAAAAGAAGTCATAGTATGTTGGGTTTTTTTAATTTGTAACACTTGAAATGTTTAAGAAAACTGCAGAATGACTATATATATTGCACTTCTCTGATCAGCTGGGCTACTGTGCTTCATGGCAAAAACACCCTCCAAGTACATCTACTGAGTAAAACAGCTTTCTGCTAACAGAAAAAAAAGGAACTGAATTTCCTTCCTGCAGCTTTCATTAAAACTGTAACAATACTCTTTGCTGGCTTTGTTTCTGAAGGATAGCTGTGTTGTTACTAAATCCACATTTATTGTTTTAAAAAAACAGCAGAACTCAGGGTAATGAATAAATTTAACATACAGGGCACTATCTTCCTTCAGCCACAAACAAAACGAAGACAACACAAGTCATTACACAGTTACACTTAGGCTTCAGGTTACTGTCGCTTTAAAAATAGTTCCCTTCCATAGCAAGTTACAATTTCCTCAAAGCAAACAAACCAAATAAGGACCTACTTGTTTTGAGTGGATGGTGTTAGCCTTTTGCAGCTTGGTTTAATGTTTGATTCCTTACACTGAAAAATCTTAGTACATCTGCTCCAGCGTCAGAGAAAATGATGCAGTTTTAGAGAAAAAGCTTTCAAAATGCTTGACACAAACAAGCTATTTATTCTTCAAGCTCTTTGTCAAAGATGTTACTAAAACCTTCTGTCCATTTCATGAACACAGGAAAGATCCCAGGGTGTCTTGAGTCAAAGTGGTCCATAAAGAAATTCTTTGGAATGTCTTAAGATTGGCTATAGCTAGAGTTCTGGCTACCATTTGGACCCTGTTCTCCTTCACTGTTTGGAAGAAAAAAAAAAAAACAAAAACATGTCTTCAAAAAGATGCATCATATTACATTTTTGGTTTGTTTTTTTTTTTCCTAAGCATTTTGAAAGTAGTAAAAACCTTTTGAAGGAAAATCCTTCCAACATATACACACATAGATTAAGATATTCGGCTCAGTTTCATTAAAAATGCAAAGGTTATTCTCCACATGCATAAATAACTTCAGTCTACTTATTTGAAGAATAACATCAATATATCCCCATGCAGCATGTATGGATATTTAAGCAGTGATATTTAATTACAGTAATTAAATACGACATCAAGCAGGCCTAGTTCCAACAGATCTGGCCCAGCATGGAGCCTCACACTGCCGTTCTTTACATTCCTAAGCTGTATTGATTATATTCTAATCACATTAATGCCCTCCATAAAACAATGTATTCTGCTTCTCACTATTTCCTGAACAATTAGACTGGCAGTTTATAATACAAAGGTCTGCACCATAAAAACATAACACTATACCTCAAACTAAATATAAACTCATTCTGAATATTCCAGTTTTTCCATGTGAAAGGCATATTAAGGAAGTACAGTACCTGTTTGGAGGTGGTTTTGGTTTAGGCATTTTACTAAGAATAGTAGCCATCTCTTTCCTCTCATCAAAGTTCTTCCACTGCTCATACAGCTTCAAAATAACCCTGATTATTTCTAAAATCTGATTAGAAAGAAAAGAGATCCTAAGGTCAGACACAATAATGATTTTATCTTTGCCATAGTCAGTTTAAGTGTGCAATTAATTAAACATGCCCTGAACTGAAATAAAGCAGCACGATTTTCATATTATAAACAGAGATGTCTCACTTAATCTGGGCTCGCAATCAACCATTTTTATAATTAGGTTTTGATTTAATTTTGAAAGGAAGCCTGAACACAATACTTTCCCTCCCATTCAACTGTATATACCACTTCTCCCCTGCAAGCTAAACAGCTTTTTATTTATTTGCAACTACTGCCACAGCTTACAACTGTGCTACAGGGAAAATGCAGACACCTGGCAGCATGACTGCAGCTAGATGACAATGGATTACTAATATAATAACTGATGGCTAGAAATGTTCTACACACATCACAGGCACAGCACATGAAAAATAAAAAGCCCAAAACCACAAGACATTGGTCTTAATTCTGTCCTTCCAAGAAATAAAGAGTCCAGGAGTGTCTGAATTCTTCTTATTCTTAGAATATTCTTATTATTTTACACTTATATACATATAATAAGAATAGTTGGAATTTCATATTCCATTTCTGGAACTGTAAGCATTCTCTACCAGTTTGGACATTTTCTATCTACTGAACCTCAACTGCCTTTATTTCCTATTAAATTTCTAATGCAATATTTTATATAAAAGCTGGACAATGTTCAGTTTGTAATTTTATGAATTATTCCCTAATTCAATAAAGTTGACTTCTTTCATAGAATCATAGAATAGTTAGGGTTGGAAAGGACCTTAAGATCATCTCGTTCCAACCCCCCTGCCATGGGCAGGGACACCTCACACTAAACCATGCCACCCAAGGCTCTGTCCAACCTGGACTTGAACACCGCCAGGGATGGAGCATTCACAACTTCCCTGGGCAACCCATTCCGGTGCCTCACCACCCTAACAGGAAAGAATTTCCTACTTATATCCAATCTAAACTTCTCCTGTTTAAGTTTTAACCCATTACCCCTTGTCCTGTCACTACAGTCTCTAATGAAGAGTCCCTCCCCAGCATCCCTATAGGCCCCCTTCAGATACTGGAAGGCTGCTATGAGGTCTCCATGCAGCCTTCTCTCCTCCAGGCTGAACAGCCCCAACTTCCTCAGCCTGTCTTCATACGGGAGGTGCTCCAGTCCCCTGATCATCCTTGTGGCCCTCCTCTGGACTTGTTCCAACAGTTCCATGTCCTTTTTATGTTGAACCAGAACTGCACACAATACTCCAAGTGAGGTCTCACGAGAGCAGAGGGGCAGGATCACCTCCTTCAATGTGCTGGTCACACTCCTTTTGATACAGCCCAGGATACGGTTGGCTTTCTGGGCTGCAAGCGCACACTGAAGCTGGGTCATGTTACGTTTCTCATCAAAAATCTTCTTTTTAATACATGGACTTTGATTATATATCCTTGAAACAAAAGTCACAGTTGACTAAAAGGTACATGGTGTTAATGTTAAAAAAATCATCCTTAGATTGTATCACTGGCAACCATGACATGTAAACATTCAAACATGTTCAGTACCAAGCTTATGGTAACCTTATCTGTCAAATGTAGGCTGGTTCTCCTCTGCTGCCAGTTGATTGTCACCCTGCTTTTACATGCATGACAGCATAATTCACAGAGTGCCTGATGCAGCTCAGCATCCACACTGTGCTTAAATTTGAAGACAAATCCTGGAATAAAAATACAATGCCAGGATACCATCAGTGGGCTAAAGGGCAATACTGAGGGCACGGAGGGCAATGGTGTGTTTCATCCGTAATACCCTATTTAATTCCAGACAGTTTCAAAAAAGGAAGACTGAAAAATATGTGCCAAGTGAAACAGCGTGATATGAAGCATGAGTGCTAAGCAAGCTCCAGCTTGCTTGCTGGAGCTAAACAAAGATTAAATAAATCAACCTAAAGACTGAAAGGAACTAGTGAAGATGAACAACATTACTGGTATGAGAACAACTGTGCCTTGGAACCTGATAAATTTAAGAAGGGGATTATTTGACACAGATTTTGCAATAGCAGGAACTCAACTGAATAATCTTGGCATTCCTCTATTTAACACTGACTGACGTCATGGTCCTGGTCATCCTGAAAGTGTTAAGCACGTTTTACACTGCTATTCTAGGCACAGTTATAGGGAGAAAATCAGAACAGTATGCAGGCACAATGCTGAAAGGTGAATCAGAAAATCACATGCACTAGAATTTAAATGTCGAACTCATGCTGGCAATCTTGGATGATGAAAAACACAGGGAATTCATTTTTCTGGAAAAAAAAATGCAAAGGATATGGGGTTTATATTTCCATCTGAAAAATGGCAACACTTACAATAGTTCTGTCCTGACTTTCAGAGCAGGCTGATAACCAAATGATCTGACATTGTCTCTCCCTGTCAGATACACCTAATTTCAACAGTACCTAACATATGATCACTGAATGAAGTTCAAAATCAGTACTGCAGACATGTAAGACAGTAGTTTTATAACCATGACTACCATTTCTGGTCAGTCCACAACAGGTGGCACAAATTACCTTTTCCATATCAACAGACAGCTCAGCAAACCATTGCCTTGCATCCTTCTGCTGGACAACACAGGCCACATGTAGGCAAGCTGCAAAGATCAGGTGACACGGATACTGAATAAAGATCCACTCTTTATACAGTTAAAAACATTCTATGTTTCATAAACAGCACATGGAATACATCCATTTAAACATGGCAAGAGACATTACTTCTGTTACTTACCTAGAGCTATCATAAAAGGAGGGTACAGCAGACAAAGATCAGTTCTATATGTGTCATTCACTATCCTCCTGTGCAAGAAAGAACTCGTAAGTATTGTCCTATTCACCTTTAGACTATATGATTTCAAAAACTGCTGTCAGTTTATACATATTTTGCCAGTTCCTCAGATGGTAGAAGCTGTGAGGCTTTGTAAAAAATCTAAAGCCTTTCACTTTCTTCCTTGTAGTCACAGCAGAAGTCTATTCGGAAGTACCATAAATGTCTTTCTGCAGAGGGTGCTGACATACACTGTAAAATAATTATCCATGTTTTACAAATAAATAAGAGCAAGCGTAAAAGTGGTACTTTCTTTCTGTACTTGAGAAATAGTTCAAGACTGAGAGTTCTGCTAACACAGCTGAAAACCCCTATATACTGCTTCTACCTTCTATTACAAGATACAGCAGAAAGCCCACTTTGATAGAAAAAGATTACCTCTGCTCATAGTCACCATTCTGTACTGTAAAAAACTGCTATTAGATCTAGTCTAAAAAAAAAAATTAGACCACAGTGACATAAAATCATTTCAGAGCTAAAGACAGAATAAGCTAAGTCAGGGACATATCCTGCACAGGTTAACTAGGGCACCCTTCATATTCAAATATGGCTAAGCCTGCTTTTGCTTAACCACCTTTGAAACATAACTGTTAAATACTTGCTTTCTTTCTGCAAGGAAGCACTATTGTTAATCACTCTCTTCATTACCATGCAAGAGGTAGCAGCATGTCTTCTTGGCCCATATCTTGTACATATTGGAGCAAAGGTCTATAAGGATGATATACTATCAAACAGCAGTCCTAGGAAAAATGTCAACGGGATGAAAAGTTAGGTTACAATG